GCTCTGGTTCGGCAGAAGCGGCTTAGTCATGCTGGCCACATGACCTGGAAAAACTCTCTGTGGATGAACGTCAGCTCCCTTGGTCAGTAAAGCGAGATGAGCGCCACAACCCCAGAGTCGTCCGCGACTGGACTTAACTGTCAGGGGTCCTTTACCTTTACCTTTTATGAGCATTCCTACCTTTATAGCACCTTGCCTCCTGTGGACATATGCGAACCTTTCAAATGAACAGTGCAAGGGGGTTTCTAGATAACCTGTTAAGAAGACATTCATTCTGACTCATTTGCACCAAGTCTGCAGAAGATTATACAACATCACGTCAGGCAATTTTTACCCTAACCTTCCAGTCACTTTCTTTAGAGCAGAAAGTCTGATTGTTTTTGGAAGCAAGTTTCTTGCATGTCAAATCCATTTTGGTTGGGCAACCCAAATTTGCTGACGTGCAGCTGAAATTCCACCGGCAAATTAGCCTTGATGTGGCCCAAGAGGCTATTGTCATGGTGTTCATTGGCAGAGTGTGTACTTTGCATGCAGACAACCACAGATTTAACCCCCAATGTCTCCACTAAAGGATCTCTAGGAGTAAAGTCAGGACAGTATCTATAATGGCTTTCAAACACATGCATAGGTACCATAATTTTCACACATGACTTTACCACGTGTACCGCTCCCTCACCTGATATATTGGAGTCAGACCTATTGGGTGATCAAGCTCAGCATTTTCTACACCTATGGGTAGTGGCTCTCTGGGATTTTAGGCAAGCCCTATGTGGAGATGTCAGGAACCTGGGACCTCCTACCTTGAGATCTACTGCCAATCTGTCTTGTCCATACTGAGCTAGATGGATCAGGTTTTGACCCCAGCAAAAGATGGCATCATTTGTTCAGAAAGTCAATATATCAGCACATACATGGGTCCCTAACATTGTACTTACCTTTACCAGTGATAGTTATTGCCCCTTATTCCATATGCATAATTGCTGCTGTGTATATGTCATGGTTAAAGGGTCTTAATAAAGCTGGTCCATTTTAGCCTATCCTCATGAAATCATAGAGCTTGAAGAGACTAGAAGACTATCAAACCCAACCCCTTATTTATGCTTCATTCCCCCCATCTTCAATTAACTCACATAATCCACTTTTTAAAGAGGGCAACCTCATTTGCTAGCATGCGAGAGCGGTGAGCCACTTTCAAGAGATGAGACCCCAGCCTAATTCCTGCATGGCTGTTGGAAGTAGGCAATTTCAGCTGCTAAAATAATCATGAACGCAGATCTGGAGTTTGTTAATTATTTAGGCAACGTTAATGAGACTCCAACAATAAAAAAACCCCCTCTGTTGTGGTAGTTATGCTCTCAGTCTGACCTGGACATCTCTGGCTAATGGTCCTCAGAAATAAATGCACAAAGTGATTGAATGAAATGCATCCTATGTTAAATTATTTTGGTTTTGCTGTAAACCTCCTTGCTTAACTTTTTGTCCTTCAGCTATTACTTTTTTTAAGTTGCACTGATAGCCAATTCTGAACATTTGGTGTGGTGGTGGTGGGGGGAGAGAACATGCATAGATGGTCTTCTTCGCAGCAGGTGATTGTGGACTACACAGTGTCCACACGATGTCACCTTCATCAAAATGCTATCCTATGTGATTTCCCCATCTAATCTGGACTTATCATTTCTCCAGAAAATCCAGTAAATCAAACAAACAAACAAACAAACAAAAACAAGCCTGGGCAACGTTAAATCCAGATAAAAGGAGTGGGAATGGAATGGCATTTTTATGAGGATGATGTTGTGTGGATGATGTCGAAAACTTGCAGGCGTAAGCAGACCAAATCCACAACAAGTTGCTTTGTGGAAGCACCCAAAGGACCCCCCCCCATTAGTTATCTCCCTTGTTACGGAAATTACTGGGGAGGGCACATCTTTAAAGTTAAATATTACAAATATTATGCCTGAATGTATCCTTTCAACTTGACAGCTCAGGGAAGTTACCTAGCTTTAAAAATAATATAAAATCATCTCCTTTCCCAGTTTCCTCCATTCCAAAGCTATTTTCCCCTTGAAAAGGGACTCCAGGAAGTTCCCAGAGGTGACAATTGCTGGGCTCATTGTTAGCCAAAGGAAGCCAAATCTCATCACCTGACTTGCCTCAGGCTCCAGACATGCAAAGGAACTTCCATTGTACTTTTGGGTGGTGGGTACTTAAGACATATTTGTCTATGCTAATCTTATACCTGAGTCTTGCCCTGCCATGTCTGCTTATGCTAATCTTGTACCAAGGACTTGTCTGGACATGTTTGCCAAGGTTAACCCCTCCCTTTTTGTGACATGTAAGCAATGATGTAGCAATGATGCTGTACGAACTGTATTCTGGGATATGGTGGGAAAGTTTTAAAAGTCTTTGTCACCCCATCCTCAGGGTTCAAATTTGCTCTTTGAACCTATTGCGCAATAAACTTTGGTCTACAGCTGTTTGCTCCGGTTGGCTGGAATCCTTCCTTTATTCCGCAGGGACCCGCGGGCTTTGCCCGACGAGCTGGGTGACTGAGCAGCCTCACACCTAGATTTTTTCCATAACACCCTTAACAAAGCCTCTCTTCTGAACCACCAGTGGTGACTGGTGCCTATTGCAACTTGTAGGGCAGATGGAAGGGAAATCAACAATAGGCAGAGCCACAACTGTCCTGCATAGAGGTGCAAGGCACACAAACAAGTTATTCATTGAAATGTTATGGAAGTTGCACAGCCAATCGGTGGACTGTGCTTAGATCTCTTGGCTGTTTATTGTGGCACAGAAAACTGTTGTCTTCTCCCACCTAGTGGCAAAAATGAACCATGAGCTTATAGTCCTTGTCTCTGAGAGTTTTTATAGAGCATTCATCCACATTTATTTTCATTAAGTTTGTGGGGAGGTTATATGATGCCTGCTGTTTACTGAGCCTTCATCCGATTTGTGCGTAGGTTTTAAGACACAGCATCAAGAGATTGTTGTGTCACACATTATAGTATATTTTTCTGCCACTTTCCTTACCTCAAAAGAACAAAAGGAGCAACAACAATTTTGGGAGGCATGAGTTTCTTGTGAAAGAGCACCATAGAATCATAGAGTTGGAATAGACCACAAGGGCCATCGAGTCCAACCCCCTGCCAAGCAGGAAACACCATCAGAGCACTCCTGACATATGGTTGTTAAGCCTCTGCTTAAAGACCTCCAAAGAAGGAGACTCCACCACACTCCTTGGCAGCAAATTCCACTGTCGAACAGCTCTTACTGTCAGGAAGTTCTTCCTAATGTTTAGGTGGCATCTTCTTTCTTGTAGTTTGGATCCATTGCTCCGTGACCGCTTCTCTGGAGCAGCAGAAAACAACCTTTCTCCCTCCTCTATATGACATCCTTTTATGGTAAACGTGCTGGCACCAAACCCACTTTAATCGTGCAATCGAACTCTACTGGTATAGACCTGAATCTTGAGGGCTTAGCTACACTCCAAGTTTTGTATTGAATTAATCTTCTTCTGACTCCTGTTTCCAAGGAAGCTGAGTGCTGGAGGATTTCAAAACAGATTTTTAAAAAAGCACATACAGTGGTACCTCGGGTTACATATGCTTCAGGATACATACACTTCAGGTTACAGACTCAGAAATAGTACCTCGGGTTAAGAACTTTGCTTCAGGATGAGAACAAAAATCGTGCTCTGGCGGCATGGCGGCAGCAGGAGGCCCCATTAGCTAAAGTGGTGCTTCAGGTTAAGAGCAGTTTCAGGTTAGGAACGGACCTCCGGAACGAATTAAGTACTTAACTCGAGGTACCACTGTATTCACGCAACACATAGTAAAATTGTGGAACTCACTCTGAAAGGAGACAGCAATGGCCACCAACTTGCATGGCTCTACAAGAGGAAAAGAAAGTCATGGGGGAGATGGCTATTAATGGCTACTAACCATGATGGCTAGACTTTGCCTCCACAGCTGGAGGCAGTAATGCTTCTGAATATCAGTTGCTGAAGACCATAGGAGGGGAAAGTGGTCATGTGCTTGGGTCCAGCTCATGGGTGTCCCACCGGCATCTGGTTGGCCACTATGAGAAGAGGATGTTGGACTAGATAGGCCGTTAGCCTCATCCAGCAGGTTCATCTTAGGTTCTTATAGTATACCTGAAGGAGCATCTCCACCCCCATTGTTCAGCCCGGAAACTGAGGTCCAGCTCCGAGGACCTTCTGGCGGTTCCCTCACTGCGAGAAGTGAAGCTACAGGGAACCAGGCAGAGGGGCTTCTTGGTAGTGGCGCCCGCCCAGTGGAACGCCCTCCCATCAGATGTCAAGGAAATAAAAAACTATCTGACTTTCAGAAGACATCTGAAGGCAGCCCTGTTTAGGGAAGTTTTTAATGTCTGATGTTTTATTGTATTTTTAATATTTTGTTGGAAGTCGCCCAGAGCGGCTGGGGAATCCCAGCCAGATGGGCAGGGTATAAATAATAAATTTATCATAATCATCATCGTCTTATGTGCTGGCCTGGCTGGTAAACGTGCTGCCTAAGCAGACACTTGCAGCCAGCTGTATTGAAACCTCCGCTCATCAGTTGGTTCCCTGTGGAAAATGAGCTAGTGAACCAGATCCGTCCACCCACCCAGTTCGACTTTGAGAGGTGGGCAGGACTGCCCTCTTCTCAGTCACCAGACACCGTCATGCAGTCAGATGATTGACAGGTGGGTGACTTTGTCCACCTATCAAAGTTGGCCCATGAGGAGGGGGCGATAAAGATCTGACATGCCAGCTCCCAAAAATTCTGTACTTCTCCTGTAGTACTAAGTTTCTGTTCAGCATTGCATCCTACCCAGCCCCATGTGTTTTGATATGACTACATCATGTTTGCTCTGTGGTGGCTCATTAGCACATGCCAAAGCTATCAAGTGATGGAATGCACGCGTGAGCAAGGCCAAAGGCCCCAGAGGTCACAATGTCACCCTTCTGAGCAACGTTCTTTTTGTTCATTTAGGAAGCCACGAGCTGGAGCAGATGCAGCTCATTTTGGAGACCATCCCTGTTTTCCACGAAGAGGACAAGGAGGAACTGCTCAAAGTGATGCCGACGTTCGTCAACAGCACCTGGGAAGTGAAGAAGCCGTTGCGGAAGCTCCTTCCTGAAGTGAACAGCAAAGGTAGAGACTCGGTTCCACATCTGCTCGGATCTAAGGGTGGATCTCCTTTGCTGGAAAGCATTTGGTTCCTAGTGGGGCTGTCCCAGAAAAAATGGGGCATTCTGTGTTCTCCTGTGAGAGACCACGGTGGCCATTTTGGGCACTGTGCTCTTGCGTGATTTCAGGCTGAGCTCTTGCCCTGAAGAAAGCACATTTTCTTGTACAGCATCCCAAAATGTGTTTTTTGGGGGTGTCGTACTGGGAAAAAAAAAGAGGGATGCGGGTGGCACTGTGGGTTAAACCACAGAGCCTAGGACTTGCCGATCAGAAGGTCGGCGGTTTGAATCCCCGAGACGGGGTGAACTCCCATTGCTCTGTCCCTGCTCCTGCCAACCTAGCAGTTCGAAAGCACATCAAAGTGCAAGTAGATAAATAGGTACCACTCTGGCGGGAAGGTAAACGGCATTTCTGTGTCTCTGGTTTCACCAGAAGCGGCTTAGTCATGCTGACCACATGTACGCTGGCTCCCTCGGCCAATAAAGCGAGATGAGCGCCGCAACCCTAGAGTTGGCCACGACTGGACCTAATGGTCAGGGGTCCCTTTACCTTACTGGAAAAAAGTGCTTGGGGGGGGGTGCCCTCTCATGCGGGTCATGTGACTTGTGTGGGACTGCAGCCCTGGAAGATGGCATCCTGTTTTTTTGTGGCAAAAGCCATGGAGGATATGCTTTCTCGAAATTCCAAATGTGCCCACTGGCTCAAAAAAAGAGGAAAAAAAGGCAACCCCTGGGTTAGGGACGTTAGGGCTTACTTCTGAGTCAACATGTATAGGATTTCTTTCTCTCATGCTTGTTAGACCTGACTTTCTTCGACTGTGACTCCTGTCCTTTCTAAAAACGTAACATCCCCAAGACTCACCGTCCTTCCAAAGCTTGCGCAACACTCCCATTAAATATAATTAAGAGCTTTACTTCTGAATCAGGGACAATTACATTCAATAATTAAATAGAAATGGAGCTTAAAGGTGAAGTCTTTGTCTGAAATCAGAGTGACTGTTCTTATCATGCATATAAGTGTTCCCAGGTGACTCTGTCTTGGGGACTAAGAACTGCTGACCTGATTGTATTAACTTGCCCCTCACAGCCATCGATTTTCTGGAGAAGATTCTGACATTCAATCCCATGGACCGGCTGACCGCAGAGATGGGTTTGCAACACCCTTATATGAGTCCCTATTACTGTCCTGAAGACGAGCCTGTTTCTCAGCACCCATTCCGGATTGAAGACGAGATTGATGACATTTTGCTGATGGAAGCGAACCAAAGCCAGATGTCCAACTGGGACAGGTACATTAATTCACTTGTTATTCACATGTTCTGCTGCTGAGCTGCTTCTTTTGCTCCTTTGAGACCAGTTTCCGAGAGTCTCAAGCTGCAATCCTGTACTGAGCTTCCTTGGAGAGTAGGGTTCCTGGAGAATTTTGATGGAAATGGTAGCAGAACCATTAGCTGGTAAAGTTTGGGATAGCAGTGGCAATTTGCCCTTGCAAGGATAGTAAGCCTGTTTAGATGACCGGCTCTTGGAAACTGATGGAAACTGAGGGGTTCCTGACTGCTCTGGAGGATCTTCTAATGGAAAAAGTTGGTGGTTCTGCTGAAGATGGAGTTGGTAGAACCACTTCTGAGTGTCTTCTCTGTCTTTGTGGAGCCCTGATAGCTTCTCAGTATTCTGGAGAGCTTCAGGCTATGAAGCAAGCTGGACAAAGACTAGTACACAAATGATGCAAGTCTCACTCCAAAGCTAATACAGTGGTACCTCAGGTTAAGTACTTAATTCGTTCCGGAGGTCCGTACTTAACCCGAAAACTGTTCTTAACCTGAAGCACCACTTTAGCTAATGGGGCCTCCTGCTGTCGCTGCGCCGCCGGAGCACGATTTCTGTTCTCAACCTGAAGCAAAGTTCTTAACCTGAAGCACTATTTCTGGGTTAGCAGAGTCTGTAACCTGAAGCGTATGTAACCTGAGTTACTGTACATAATTGTCAGAATAAGAAGGCCCATTTTGCAGCTTGCATTGTATTCTCTAGTAGCCGGCCAGTTGGAGTTATTTCAGATGGTTCAAAGGTTACTGACTCCCAAGGAGGCACAAAGCAAATCAGGGAGCTAGGGCCCGTCCCAATTTCTGGGAAATATATTCAGTGAAAGTAAATAAATAATTTTCTAAATTTGCTTAAATGGGAGTATGCGCCTGACCCTTCGTTGTGCGTCTAACGTTGTTGTCACTTCGAACACACAGGTACCAAGTCAGCTTATCCTCAGATTTGGAATGGAGGCAAGAGAAGTGCCACGATTTGGAGGAGGTGCAACGAGATCCCAGAGCGGGGTCAGAATCCATTGCTGAGGAGGCTCAGGTGGACCCGCGCAAATATTCCCAGAGCAGCTCCGAGAGATTCCTGGAGCAGTCACATTCCTCGATGGACCGAGCGTTTGAGGGAGATTACGGGCGGTCGTGTGATTACAAAGTGGGGTCGCCTTCCTATTTGGACAAGCTCTTGTGGAGGGACAACAAGCTCCATCATTATTCAGAGCCCAAGCTCATCTTAGACTTGTCCCACTGGAAAAGGGCATCTATTGCACCTACGGCGGAGATCGCCTTGGAGGAGGAACCATCCAACCTATTCCTAGAGATAGCCCAGTGGGTTACAAGTACCCAGACAGGACTTGAATGCCCAAATCCTCTCCCAGAGATCCAGGAGAGGAGCTTACCATCTTCTCCTCACCATCTCCACAAAGAAGCTAAGGAGGTCGGCAGCGAAAGCGACCCCCAGTTTGACTTGGACGTCTTCATTTCCAGGGCATTAAAACTTTGCACAAAGCCAGAAGATCTGCCTGACAACAAGCTCAAAGACATCAACGGCGCATGCCTAGCAGAGCACCCTAGTGAGATTGTACAGACGGAGGTGTACCATAAAGAGAGGTGGTAAAATAATAATAATAATAATTAAACGTTGCTGCTGGTATTCGTGGCTGATTCCTTACAAATTCTTCCAGTCTTCGTGCTAATTACCCAATGCTGAACAGTAACCAAGGTTTGATCGAACGTGCTCGGTACCCGATGTTACTGAAATGCCTTTTTTGTTAAGGGCAGGTAGAAAACCAGGTCCCCTTCTGATGCCTTGAACGGAAAAGGAATCCAGAGGTGTGAATGAAATTTTAGGGGTTTTACGCTGCCTTAACAATCTTGCCTTGTACCTCCAGGGGTGTCTTTTGGACATGAGTCCCCCATTGCGGAGGTGTTCTGGATGTTAAACTCTTGATCTTACAGAGAGAGGCTGAATTGGCATTATTTTGAGAGTCATAGGACTTGAAGCCCCTGCTCCTTTGATAACCGGGCTGTGGCTATTGGATGGAGTCCGGCACACTTCCGTGCCCCCCACTGGACCCCCGTGGATAGCTCTCCGTCAGCTTCTTGTAGCAGAGTCATCGCAGCGGTAGAAACTGTTGCAATGTGTGTGTGTAATAACTCAAACTGCACGCAGGCTTCCTTGCTTATCTCCAACAGTCTTTAATCGTGTAGAAAAACAACATAAATCACCCCGGCGAAAGAGCGCACATCTTGCTGCGTCGCCGCAAAAGCGAAAGAACAAAGACACACAGAGAAACACTCCCCTCTGTGAACATAGCCACGCCTCAGAATGTGAGACGTCACTCAGAACTGCTTAACCCTGTAAGTTCTGATTCTCTTCACACGGGCAGCCTGGTTTTTAGTGACCTCATGATTTACATTGGTATGACACTTTTCCTGAGAGCCCAGAGCATTTAAGGGAAGGGCTGTAGCTCATTGGTGGGACACCTGCTAGGCATGCAGAGGGTCCCATCTCCGGCACCACCAGGTAGGGCTAGTAATGTCCCCCTCTAGACAATACTGAGCGAGATTGACTTGGCAGCTTCCAAGGTTCCTCTGTTCCACAGGGTTCCTCTTGTTCTAGCTTGGCCAGGTTGGCTGGTAGTACTCTCCTGATATTACAGCTAGACTTTGCTTCCTAGTTAATTGGTGACTGAGCTGAGAGTCGGAATGGGGATCTCTGGCTTGTAGTTCATGCTTGCAACCACCACACAAGCATACCCTCTTTGTCACACTTAACGAGTGGAAAGGTAGGGCTTCTCCTGAGACATATTTTACCATCATTCCTTGGAAACAAAACCGCCATATAGCTAAATCAGTTTGAACATCGCAACCCTAAGAACTTTAGGGCACAACGTTTATTTGCTTACGCATCGCTCTTTGTCGGATCAGGGCAAAGGTGTCAAGATGCTTGCCAGGCCTCTAACCTCCCCTTGCCCTTCACATAGTACCCTTAAGTCCCCTGTTCTTCCCAGCTCTCTTGGTTTGCTTTTTTTTTTTTTTTTGCAGGGCGTGTGTGCCTCATTTGTGTGTGTGTGTGTGTGTTTATTTGTTTTGGGAGATATGTCTGTGTTCTGCCTGAGGCTTTTTTGTGTATGTGCGCACAGGGGATTGAGCATTGCCAGTTTGGATTCTGGGTCTTTTATAGTGCCCATGGACACTTTCTTAAATTTCCAAATGTGCCCCTGGACCTCAAAAAGTTGAGGAACCCCCACCTAGGCTATCAATTTCCAGACTATCAGTATGCATGTTTCAGAAGCAAGGTATATCACCCCAAACAAGCAGGATGTCCAGGCCTGAATACAGTGGTACCTCTGGTTACGTACTTAATTCGTTCCGGAGGTCCGTTCTTAACCTGAAGCATCCCTTTAGCTAATGGGGCCTCCTGCTGCTGCCTGCGCCGCCGCCACACGAGTTCTGTTCTCATCCTGAAGCAAAGTTCTTAACCCCAAGGTACTATTTCTGGGTTAGCAGAGTCTGTAACCTGAAGCGTATGTAACCTGAAGCGTATGTAACCCGAGGGGTACCACTGTTACAGCGGTAAGAGAAAAAGGACTAGGTGTTTAGGAGGATATCTCAGCACACAGTGGGCTTGCCTGACAAATTGAGGCCTTTATAGCATCCCTGAAGCACAGAAACCGAGTTAGTCGGGCTTGCCCCTAGTGTTTCTTAGGAGGCATGGCAACGGGACCCTGGCTGTTGGAAACCCCAGTTCAAGACCCCCTCCCCAAGCGCGCTTACAAGCATAGTGAATTTATGTATGCCGTTGCCCTTTAAAGCCCACCAGGAAGAGTTAATGCCAAAGTCAGATTTCAAAAGCGAAGCAAGGAAAAAGACCAGAAATTCTGAAAGTTGAATCTGAATTCTGAGGTGCCGTCAGATGTTGGAACTTCTGTGGAATTTAGTTTCGCGTGTACCGTTAAACCAGGTGCTCAAAATAAGTAGTGAAGCTGAGGGCTTAAATGTTAAGTGATGGTCTTTTGTGCACAGACTCTCCCGCAGAAAAACAAGAACCCCCCAAACAAAAAGACCCCACCCTGAAAAAGAATGCTAACAAATCTGGGTGGTATTCAATTAAATAATTGCTCAAGAAGAATTCCTCTGCACTTGTGCAATGGGGACTCCCCACGCCCAAACTCTTCCCCTAAATATGTTCTGGAGCAGATATGGGGATGTGTAGGGTGCAGGCAGGGGGAAGAAGATTACACAAATAGAAGTTGTTGAGGCCAAGGGTTGTAGTCCTTACATTTTGGAAAATGACACTCACAAAAGTTTCCTGGGATTAGCCAAGACTGAACTCCAGCTCTTCTGCCACAGTTTGTTTTTGCACTGAAGTGTCCTTGGGAAGGAAAAGGAGTCAAGTGAAAACTCAAAGAAGCTTTGTAAATAATTACACACATGGATCTGCTGTAGGCTCTAATTTTCATTCACATTTCTGAGCACCTTATTAATGAATCGGTTGAGTTTGATTTGTATATTCAAGAAATGTTATGAACTTCTATGTAATCTGCCTGATCAATTTTTTTTTTCAAAAAAAAGGAAATACTGAAAATGTGTAATTAGCATGCGCTTTTCTAAAAAAAATAATAAGAATTACCTTCTTTGCACCATTTTTGTTCACTGGATTATGTAAATTTCTTCTGGGAAATTCATCCTGCTTATTATTTAATACCTGGAAAGCTGGTATATTACTTCTGCTGAGATAGTTATTTTTATTAGCGGCATTCAGAACGTGTGCAAGCTTTTGAGTACCATGGAGATCTTTTAAAATGTGCATTGCATTTTCAGCTGACAGATCTCAATAAAAGGCATCTTCTATCTTGCTTGCTCTATGGTTTGACCCTCCCACGCTTCTACCAAGAGTTTGCATCCTAAAAAGATAATTCTGCCATTTAGTAGCCAAGTTAGTAAACTATTGCCTGCATGTTGTGGGGGGAGGAGAGAGATGGAAGATCATTCTGTCTGGCAAGCAGAACGCTTACGCTAATGATTGTTTGTATTAACATGATGCTGACGTTTTTTGGCAATGATGGGCTTGGAATTTGGCTACAGTGGTACCTCGCAAGATGAATGCCTCGCAAGACAAAAAACTCACTAGACGAAAGGGTTTTTTGTTTTTTGAGCTACTTTGCAAGACGATTTTCCCTATGGGCTTGCTTCGCAAGACAGAAATGTCTTACAAGCTTGTTTCCTTTTTCTTAACACCGTTAATACAGTTGCGACTTGACTTCGAGGAGCAACTCATAGTGTGGTAGCCTTTTTTGAGGTTTTTAAAGACTTTAAGAGGCCTGAAGAATTGGCATTATTTTGAGAGTCATAGGACTTGAAGCCCCTGCTCCTTTGATAAACGGGCTGTGGCTATTGGATGGAGTCCGGCACACTTCCGTGCCCCCACTGGACCCCCGTGGATAGCTCTCCGTCAGCTTCTTGTAGCAGAGTCATCGCAGCGGTAGAAACTGTGCAATGTGTGTGTGTAATAACTCAAACTGCACGCAGGCTTCCTTGCTTATCTCCAACAGTCTTTAATCGTGTTAAAAAACAACATAAATCACCCCGGCGAAAGAGCGCACATCTTGCTGCGTCGCCGCAAAAGCGAAAGAACAAAGACACACAGAAGAAACACTCCCCTCTGTGAACATAGCCACGCCTCAGAATGTGAGACGTCACTCAGAACTGCTTAACCCTGTAAGTTCTGATTCTCTTCACACGGGCAGCCTGTTTTTAGTGACCTCATGATTTACATTGGTATGACACTTTTCCTGAGAGGCCCAGAGCATTTAAGGGAAGGGCTGTAGCTCATTGGTGGCAACCCTGCTAGGCATGCAGAGGGTCCCATCTCCGGCACCACCAGGTAGGGCTAGTAATGTCCCCCTCTAGACAATACTGAGCGAGATTGACTTGGCAGCTTCCAAGGTTCCTCTGTTCCACAGGGTCTCTCTTTTCTAGCTTGGCCAGGTTGGCTGTGTAGTACTCTCCTGATATTACAGCTAGACTTTGCTTCCTAGTTAATTGGTGACTGAGCTGAGAGTCGGAATGGGGTTCTCTGGCTTGTAGTTCATGCGTTGCAACCACACACAAGCATACCCTCTTTGTCACACTTAACGAGTGGAAAGGTAGGGCTTTCTCCTTTTCTCTCATGCTTGTTAGACCTGACTTTCTTCGACTGTGACTCCTGTCCTTTCTAAAACGTAACATCCCCAAGACTCACCGTCCTTCCAAAGCTTGCGCAACACTCCCATTAAATATAATTAAGAGCTTTACTTCTGAATCAGGGACAATTACATTCAATAATTAAATAGAAATGGAGCTTAAAGGTGAAGTCTTTGTCTGAAATCAGAGTGACTGTTCTTATCATGCATATAAGTGTTCCCAGGTGACTCTGTCTTGGGGACTAAGAACTGCTGACCTGATTGTATTAACTTGCCCCTCACAGCCATCGATTTTTCTGGAGAAGATTCTGACATTCAATCCCATGGACCGGCTGACCGCAGAGATGGGTTTGCAACACCCTTATATGAGTCCCTATTACTGTCCTGAAGACGAGCCTGTTTCTCAGCACCCATTCCGGATTGAAGACGAGATTGATGACATTTTGCTGATGGAAGCGAACCAAAGCCAGATGTCCAACTGGGACAGGTACATTAATTCACTTGTTATTCACATGTTCTGCTGCTGAGCTGCTTCTTTTGCTCCTTTGAGACCAGTTTCCGAGAGTCTCAAGCTGCAATCCTGTACTGAGCTTCCTTGGAGAGTAGGGTTCCTGGAGAATTTTGATGGAAATGGTAGCAGAACCATTAGCTGGTAAAGTTTGGGATAGCAGTGGCAATTTGCCCTTGCAAGGATAGTAAGCCTGTTTAGATGACCGGCTCTTGGAAACTGATGGAAACTGAGGGGTTCCTGACTGCTCTGGAGGATCTTCTAATGGAAAAAGTTGGTGGTTCTGCTGAAGATGGAGTTGGTAGAACCACTTCTGAGTGTCTTCTCTGTCTTTGTGGAGCCCTGATAGCTTCTCAGTATTCTGGAGAGCTTCAGGCTATGAAGCAAGCTGGACAAAGACTAGTACACAAATGATGCAAGTCTCACTCCAAAGCTAATACAGTGGTACCTCAGGTTAAGTACTTAATTCGTTCCGGAGGTCCGTACTTAACCCGAAACTGTTCTTAACCTGAAGCACCACTTTAGCTAATGGGGCCTCCTGCTGTCGCTGCGCCGCCGGAGCACGATTTCTGTTCTCAACCTGAAGCAAAGTTCTTAACCTGAAGCACTATTTCTGGGTTAGCAGAGTCTGTAACCTGAAGCGTATGTAACCTGAGTTACTGTACATAATTGTCAGAATAGAAGGCCCATTTTGCAGCTTGCATTGTATTCTCTAGTAGCCGGCCAGTTGGAGTTATTTCAGATGGTTCAAAGGTTACTGACTCCCAAGGAGGCACAAAGCAAATCAGGGAGCTAGGGCCCGTCCCAATTTCTGGGAAATATATTCAGTGAAAGTAAATAAATAATTTCTAAATTTGCTTAAATGGGAGTATGCGCCTGACCCTTCGTTGTGCGTCTAACGTTGTTGTCACTTCGAACACACAGGTACCAAGTCAGCTTATCCTCAGATTTGGAATGGAGGCAAGAGAAGTGCCACGATTTGGAGGAGGTGCAACGAGATCCCAGAGCGGGGTCAGAATCCATTGCTGAGGAGGCTCAGGTGGACCCGCGCAAATATTCCCAGAGCAGCTCCGAGAGATTCCTGGAGCAGTCACATTCCTCGATGGACCGAGCGTTTGAGGGAGATTACGGGCGGTCGTGTGATTACAAAGTGGGGTCGCCTTCCTATTTGGACAAGCTCTTGTGGAGGGACAACAAGCTCCATCATTATTCAGAGCCCAAGCTCATCTTAGACTTGTCCCACTGGAAAAGGGCATCTATTGCACCTACGGCGGAGATCGCCTTGGAGGAGGAACCATCCAACCTATTCCTAGAGATAGCCCAGTGGGTTACAAGTACCCAGACAGGACTTGAATGCCCAAATCCTCTCCCAGAGATCCAGGAGAGGAGCTTACCATCTTCTCCTCACCATCTCCACAAAGAAGCTAAGGAGGTCGGCAGCGAAAGCGACCCCCAGTTTGACTTGGACGTCTTCATTTCCAGGGCATTAAAACTTTGCACAAAGCCAGAAGATCTGCCTGACAACAAGCTCAAAGACATCAACGGCGCATGCCTAGCAGAGCACCCTAGTGAGATTGTACAGACGGAGGTGTACCATAAAGAGAGGTGGTAAAATAATAATAATAATAATTAAACGTTGCTGCTGGTATTCGTGGCTGATTCCTTACAAATTCTTCCAGTCTTCGTGCTAATTACCCAATGCTGAACAGTAACCAAGGTTTGATCGAACGTGCTCGGTACCCGATGTTACTGAAATGCCTTTTTTGTTAAGGGCAGGTAGAAAACCAGGTCCCCTTCTGATGCCTTGAACGGAAAAGGAATCCAGAGGTGTGAATGAAATTTTAGGGTTTTACGCTGCCTTAACAATCTTGCCTTGTACCTCCAGGGGTGTCTTTTGGACATGAGTCCCCATTGCGGAGGTGTTCTGGATGTTAAACTCTTGATCTTACAGAGAGAGGCTGAATTGGCATTATTTTGAGAGTCATAGGACTTGAAGCCCCTGCTCCTTTGATAACCGGGCTGTGGCTATTGGATGGAGTCCGGCACACTTCCGTGCCCCCACTGGACCCCCGTGGATAGCTCTCCGTCAGCTTCTTGTAGCAGAGTCATCGCAGCGGTAGAAACTGTTGCAATGTGTGTGTGTAATAACTCAAACTGCACGCAGGCTTCCTTGCTTATCTCCAACAGTCTTTAATCGTGTAGAAAAACAACATAAATCACCCCGGCGAAAGAGCGCACATCTTGCTGCGTCGCCGCAAAAGCGAAAGAACAAAGACACACAGAGAAACACTCCCCTCTGTGAACATAGCCACGCCTCAGAATGTGAGACGTCACTCAGAACTGCTTAACCCTGTAAGTTCTGATTCTCTTCACACGGGCAGCCTGGTTTTTAGTGACCTCATGATTTACATTGGTATGACACTTTTCCTGAGAGCCCAGAGCATTTAAGGGAAGGGCTGTAGCTCATTGGTGGGACACCTGCTAGGCATGCAGAGGGTCCCATCTCCGGCACCACCAGGTAGGGCTAGTAATGTCCCCCTCTAGACAATACTGAGCGAGATTGACTTGGCAGCTTCCAAGGTTCCTCTGTTCCACAGGGTTCCTCTTGTTCTAGCTTGGCCAGGTTGGCTGGTAGTACTCTCCTGATATTACAGCTAGACTTTGCTTCCTAGTTAATTGGTGACTGAGCTGAGAGTCGGAATGGGGATCTCTGGCTTGTAGTTCATGCTTGCAACCACCACACAAGCATACCCTCTTTGTCACACTTAACGAGTGGAAAGGTAGGGCTTCTCCTGAGACATATTTTACCATCATTCCTTGGAAACAAAACCGCCATATAGCTAAATCAGTTTGAACATCGCAACCCTAAGAACTTTAGGGCACAACGTTTATTTGCTTACGCATCGCTCTTTGTCGGATCAGGGCAAAGGTGTCAAGATGCTTGCCAGGCCTCTAACCTCCCCTTGCCCTTCACATAGTACCCTTAAGTCCCCTGTTCTTCCCAGCTCTGTGGGTTCTTTTTGCTTTTTTTGCAGGGCGTGTGTGCCTCATTTGTGTGTGTGTGTGTTTATTTGTTTTGGGAGATGTGTCTGTGTCCTGCCTGGGCTTTTTTGTGTATGTGCGCGCAGGGGGTTGAGCATTGCCAGTTTGGATTCTGGGTCTTTTATAGTGCCCATGACACTTCCTTAAATTTCCAAATGTGCCCCTGGACCTCAAAAAGTTGAGGAACTCCCACCTAGGCTATCAATTTCCAGACTGTCAGTATGCATGTTTCAGAAGCAGGTATATCACCCCAAACAAGCAGGCTGTCCAGGCTGAATACAGGGACTAGGTGCTTAAGAGGCTATTGCTGCACACAGTGGCTTGCTGGCATCGAGGCCTTTATGGCATCCCTGAAGCATAGAACCGAGTCTATCAGGCTTGCCATAGTGTTTCTTAGGAAGTATGGTGGCAGAGCCTGGCTGTTGGGAACCCCAGTCCAAGCGCCTTACAAGCATAGTGAATTTATTATGCCGTTGCCTTAAAGCCCACCAGGAAGAGTTAATGCCAAAGTCAGATTTCAAAAGCGAAGCAAGGAAAAAGACCAGAAATTCTGAAAGTTGAATCTGAATTCTGAGGTGCCGTCAGATGTTGGAACTTCTGTGGAATTTAGTTTCGCGTGTACCGTTAAACCAGGTGCTCAAAATAAGTAGTGAAGCTGAGGGCTTAAATGTTAAGTGATGGTCTTTTGTGCACAGACTCTCCCGCAGAAAAACAAGAACCCCCCAAACAAAAGACCCCACCCTGAAAAAGAATGCTAACAAATCTGGGTGGTATTCAATTAAATAATTGCTCAAGAAGAATTCCTTGCACTTGTGCAATGGGACTCCCACGCCCAAACTCTTCCCTAAATATGTTCTGGAGCAGATATGGGGATGTGTAGGGTGCAGGCAGGGGGAAGAAGATTACACAAATAGAAGTTGTTGAGGCCAAGGGTTGTAGTCCTTACATTTTGAAAATGACACTCACAAAAGTTTCCTGGGATTAGCCAAGACTGAACTCCAGCTCTTCTGCCACAGTTGTTTTTGCACTGAAGTGTCCTTGGAAGGAAAAGGAGTCAAGTGAAAACTCAAAGAAGCTTTGTAAATAAATTACACACCATGGATCTGCTGTAGGCTCTATTTTCATTCACATTTCTGAGCACCTTATTAATGAATCGGTTGAGTTTGATTTGTATATTCAAGAAATGTTATGAACTTCTATGTAATCTGCCTGATCAATATTTTTTTTCAAAAAAAAGGAAATACTGAAAATGTGTAATTAGCATGCGCTTTTCTAAAAAAAATAATAAGAATTACCTTCTTTGCACCATTTTTGTTCACTGGATTATGTAAATTTCTTCTGGGAAATTCATCCTGCTTATTATTTAATACCTGGAAAGCTGGTATATTACTTCTGCTGAGATAGTTATTTTTATTAGCGGCATTCAGAACGTGTGCAAGCTTTTGAGTACCATGGAGATCTTTTAAAATGTGCATTGCATTTTCAGCTGACAGATCTCAATAAAAGGCATCTTCTATCTTGCTTGCTCTATGGTTTGACCCTCCCACGCTTCTACCAAGAGTTTGCATCCTAAAAAGATAATTCTGCCATTTAGTAGCCAAGTTAGTAAACTATTGCCTGCATGTTGTGGGGGGAGGAGAGAGATGGAAGATCATTCTGTCTGGCAAGCAGAACGCTTACGCTAATGATTGTTTGTATTAACATGATGCTGACGTTTTTGGCAATGATGGGCTTGGAATTTGGCTACAGTGGTACCTCGCAAGATGAATGCCTCGCAAGACAAAAAACTCACTAGACGAAAGGGTTTTTTGTTTTTTGAGCTACTTTGCAAGACGATTTTCCCTATGGGCTTGCTTCGCAAGACAGAAATGTCTTACAAGCTTGTTTCCTTTTTCTTAACACCGTTAATACAGTTGCGACTTGACTTCGAGGAGCAACTCATAGTGTGGTAGCCTTTTTTGAGGTTTTTAAAGACTTTGGTGATTTTTGAAGCTTTTCCAAAACTTTCCCGACACTGTGCTTCGCAAGACGAAAAAAATTGCAAGACGACAAAACTCGCGGAACAAATTAATTTCGTCTTGCGAGGCACAGCTGTATAAGATTAACTCCAAGGCAGAGGTTGCAGCAGACCTCAGCATTTAGTTCGGCAAAACTCAGAACGCTGGAATTCACAGATGTGCTGCATATTCAGAAAAGGAATACAACGTAGTGCAGCCTTTCGTGAAGGAAAGTGCTCCCCCTGCACACCCCTCCACTTCCCTGTACTTAGAAATCTATCATGTCAAGAAGGCTAAGCTAGAGACATCTTCCTGACCTGCTCGTTTCCTGTAAGCAGGGAGTTTTTCTATGGCAGTAAAAAAAAATTTAAAGGTATTTTCAGGTGAGTCTTTTTCTACAATGAACAAAATGAAAGAACCAGGAGCAGAGGGATTCCAAAGAACTGATATACCTCAAAAACAAAAAATTGGCATGTCCTCTAGCCCAATTTAATCTTTGATGTAACAAGCCCAGTTGTTTTCAGTGAGGTTATAACTACGTAGACCATAGGTACAGTATGAATTTTACGTTGCCCCACCTAACTCATACAAATATTATTGATGTATTTATTAGTCTACTACAGGCTGCAATGAATTCAGAGTTTTTCCTGTGTGTGCCCTCGTAGTTTAATGGTAACAGGACCAGTTAGCTCCCTCCACCTTTGGGATGAGGGTGATCATGCAACTGCTTTCTTGATCTTCCTGCTTTACCTCTTCATCATTTCCTGCCCTCCTACTCACCTGGTGGTTCTGGTTTGTCAGAGCTGGTGCCACGGTTTGGCGTTGTGCAGTACCTGTCAAGGCCCAGGAGCTTTGCAGGGGACCCATTGCAGATGCACACACCCAAATGTTTAGTACTCTACAGCAGAGCATCTTATTTTGCCAGGAGTTTTTTTTTAAATCTTCCTTTTAGGCTTTATGCAACCCTTTAACATATGGACAAATCAAAAGCTGATGAACATTTGAAGCGTCATAACCATAAGGGAAAGCACTAGATATTTTATGTATTTATGTGTTTATTTATTCAGAGAAGTTGCCCCGCTGTTTTGTTGAAAGAAATGCTCATAACAAACGATAGCTTTAATATTGATTCTCTCTCTCGACGTATCTGCAGTATCCCACATAACTGTTTTATGCCAGCTTCACTCCTATGGCTTCCTCCAAAGAACACTAGGAATTTTAGATTGCTGAGAGTTTTGAGACTTCCTTGTTAGAGATTCCTATCTTTGCCCCCTGAGAATTGACTTGCTTTGGGGGGAATGACTACTAACCACGTTTGTAGCGTAGATCTGGCTTCGTTCGCTCACTGTACGTTGGATCTGACACCACACCAGCGGCCAGCTTGAGAAAAATAAGCAATTCCACATGAGTTCATGTCTCGGATCTTATGCTGTTCACCTGCGTAGACAGTTTGTGTGGACCGAGTTTGTTTTCAATAGCTTATAGCTGGTTACTGCTGTATCACTAGAACTTATGTTCCTGTATGAACGCACATTGGAAACTGAGAAACAGAGAATCCCCTATGGTCAACCCACATAACAATGTACCAGTTGAAAAAGCATCTATGGTG